TATACGAAGTTATTACGGGATTTCTGTTGTGTCCTGCTGCTGGAGCCGAGTCCTGTTGCGAGAGGCTGCACCGAATATTGATCCACAGATTTATTAGTGAGTACAGTGAAAACAATAAGGCAGGACAGGGCACTGGGGAGGTCCAGAGGCAGGTTGAGACAACACACGAAGACAATACACGAATGCCCTCAGCCTGTCGACCCAGGGTTTATATAGGCGGTTTTCCCGCACGATCATGATATCGATAAGATCATCATATTGTGATTACGTGATCATCAATACACACAACACCTCCCCCAGTAGAAAGAACAACACAATTAACTTTCTACTCCTACAAATCAGAAAATGCAAACAAACACTCAACAATCAAACTAACGCAATGTATCTGGATATCTGTGTACCGGTCTTCTTATCCTCTTCGAGCGTCGCAGTGGCACATCGGCTTGGGTTTGTCGTTCTGGAGCAGCCGCGTCCGTAGGTCGTGTAGTCTCTTCACGTCGCTTCCACACGTCGTCCAATTCGAGCGTCTCGATTAGAGTCAGCAACGACTTGTCTTCATAACTGTAGGGTGCCTTCGCATTACGACGGCGTAACTGATTTGCGTGCTTCTTCGCTACCCTTCCATTCAGGTCGACTTCGTAGTTAACTTTGCCGATTCGCCTGATGATAATGCCTTCTTTCCATATAAACTGTGGCGCTTTCCATATCTGAGCGTAAACTGCTTCGCCAACTTCGAATTCCTTCGGGACAGCATTGTTTCTTCTGTTGAACTGTTCTATCATTTTCTTCCGGTTTACTTCAGACGGTGGCGTGGGTGAATTTTCTATCGGAAGTAGTAGACTCAGCCGTGTGCGAAGTTTTCTTCCTAGAAACACTTCTGCTGGTGTCCTATTGTTCAAATTATCGTTCGGAGTTGTTCGGTATGCTTGAAGAATCACATTCAGCGTTTCTTCCGACGGCTTCTCCTCCCCCTCGAGTTTCTTGATACCTCGTTTTAGTGTGTCCACGAACCGTTCGGCTTGTCCGTTCGACTGCGGATGATAAGGAGCAGTTCTCATGTGTCTTATTCCTCCTTCTTCGCACATCGTCTTGAACTGTGCTGACGTAAATTGGGTTCCATTGTCGCTGACGATGGTTTGCGGGATTCCATATCTTGCAAACATTTTCTTCAGTTCCTTCACCGTCTGGCTTGCAGAGATACTTGTCATCTCTATGATTTCCGGCCATTTGCTGAAAGCATCCACAACAACCATGTAAAATAATCCACAAACAGGTCCTGCGAAATCCACATGAATCCTTTCCCACACACAAGTTGGTGTTGACCAAGCTTCCAAGGGAGCTTTGATGGGATTCTTCGCATATTCTTGACATCTTGAACAGGTGCGCACTATTTCTTCACAATCCTTGTCAAGGTTTGGCCAGTACACGTAACTCCTGGCGAGTTTCTTCATCCGTACGATTCCTGGATGACCAGCGTGCAGCTCCTTGAGAACCTTGACCTGTAATTCCTCAGGAATGACAACTCTTTCTGCCATCATAAGGCATTCATCTACGATCGATAGAGTTTCTCTTCTGTTGAAAAATGGTGCCAGTTTGGGGTTGACCTTTGGCCATTTTCCGGACTTCACATATGACTTGATATTTCCTGAGCAAAGAGTCCTTCTTAGTACCATCTCTGACATGTTCGTGGGTCAGTGGTAGCCTTCTGATGCAGTCCTTCAGCAGTCTGGAAACATCATTTTCAACTGCTGCTACTACCACATCTTCGTTTGAATCTTGGTGCTTCTGCATCAATCTTGATAAACCATCCACTTGTCCGAACTGCGTGGTTTTGACATACTCAATGTCGAAATCGTATCCTAACAGAATCGTAGCCCATCGCATAAGCCGATTTGCGGAGTACACCGGAACTCCTCTCTTGTCTCCAAAAATTGCTAACAATGGCTTATGGTCTGTTAACAATAAAAACTTTCTTCCAAATAAATACTTGTGAAACTTCTTGACTGCAAAAACAAGTCCAAGAGCTTCCTTTTCAATTTGAGAGTACTTCTTCTCAGCATCTGACAGTGACCTTGAAGCATGTGCAATAGGTTTCTCCAAACCGTCAGCGTATCTGTGCGAAATGACACAACCAATACCATAATCACAAGCGTCAGCTGCCACAACAATCTTCTGCTGAGGGTCGTAGTGAGCAAGATTGACGTCGCTTGACAATGCTTTCTTCAAGTCTTCAAATGCTTCTTGTTCTTTGGAAGTCCATCTCCACTTCACATCCTTCTTGAGCAAGGCATCTAAAGGTCCACGGAGATTCTTCATAGTAGGAACAAATGCAGAGTAGTATGTAATCATTCCCAGAAACGATCTCAATTGTACAATATTCTTCGGTTCATCCATTTTCTTGATAGCTTCTATTTTCTCCGGATTGGGTCTTCTTCCATTTCTGTCCAGAATAAAACCAAGATATCGTATTTCTGGTTTGGAAAATGTACATTTGTCTAGACGTACCTTGAATCCATAGTCAGCTATTCTTCCGAATACTGCTAGCAAATTTTCTTTATGCTCTTGTTCCGTTCTTCCGCTCACCAAGATATCGTCCAAATAGGTGGCTACACCTTGCAATCCACTAACCATTTTGTTCATCACTTGTTGAAAAATTCCTGGTGCAGTCTTGATTCCAAAAGGCAGTCGATTGTACCTGAACAATCCCTTGTGCGTATTTATGACGACTTTCTTCTTCGACTCTTCAGAAAGTTCCAGCTGTAGGTAAGTGTCTGATAAATCGATTTGCGAGAAGATCGTTCAAGGATGCGAAAATATCTTCCGGCATTGGTAAGGGATAATCAAAAGACTGCAGGGCTCTGTTAAGCCCGGTTGAGAAATCAGCACATATTCTCAACTTTCCATTTTGCTTCTTGACACAAACAATAGGTGCGGCCCATTCACTATGACTCACTGGTGCAATGACTTCCATCTGCACAAGCCTATCTAGCTCTGCGTTTACAGCTTCCAATGCAGCGTGGGGTACTGGACGACTGCTACAGAACACTGGGCGCACATTCTGATTAAGCTGCAAATCAACTTCTTCTTTATTGCAGCGTCCTAATCCTTCTTCAAAGACTTCCGGATAAGTCTTCTTCAATTCTTCTTCTATTTCGGTAATGGATGCAACTTTTACTTCTGCTGTCATCATTTCCAAGTGATACCTCATCTCCACATTCGCTCGTATCCATTCCAGACCCATGAGCGAGTTGTATGGCGTCACATAGGCATATCCTTCAGTTTCGACGCCCTTCATTTTGATCTTGCATCTCAACTTTCCGTTGATCTTCATATGTTCTCCACTGGCATTCTTCACAACAACATTTGTCCTTTCCAGTACTGGGGATCCCATCTTCTTCCACGTCTTCTCGTTCAACAGCGTGATGTCGGATCCTGTATCCAGTAAAAATTTGACGTCGTAGTTGTTTACTACATGCGAGGACAGTTCGCTTCAAGCACAGCGTTCGCAATCTCAACTGTTCGAACTTGTCTTCGTGGAGCCTTCCTTCGCCCATTGCCTTCGCGGTTACTGTTTCGCATTTTCTTCATATTTTCTTCTTGACCGTCTGGCTTCTTCTGTCGTAGAATGTCACAAAATTTCTCCTTATGGCCAGTTTTTCTGCACTTTTTGCAGAACCAAGGCTTGGACTTGCACAGACGGGCATAGTGGTTGCCTCCGCAGTTCCAGCATTCGATTTCATTCCGCTTCTGTACGGTTGTTGCATCAACAATTTTCGTACTTCCTGCAACAATTTCACTATCTCTTCTAAGACTCAAGAAGTTCTCGCATTCTTGATGTAACTCGTGCAGCGATACGCTTCTTCCGGCCTTGTGCTCTCTATCAAGTATCGCAATCAGTCTTTGCCTGATCTCTGCTTCTTGCTGTGACTTCAGGCCAAAATCCATAGGAGACATTTGATTCCATCTGAGTCAAGTTCGTGAATCTTCGCCTTCTCACAGAATTCATTCACGCGACCGGTATACGTGAGATAGTCTTCGGCATCGCTCTTCTCTAGCTTGAGGCACTGATATCTTGTGGTGAACAATGAAGTCTTGTAATCGAATAGCTGCTTCAATGCTTGTATCGTCTCGTCGAATCCGATTTGAGAAACATCCTTAGGCAGCACGTGCCTCTGATACTTCTCAAACGTTATGGAATCTAGTTTCTCACAAAGTAGCCTCACCTTGTTAACTTCAGTGAGCTGCTTGGCATCCTCAGAGAAAACCTCCTTATATCTTGAGAACCATTTCGAAAAGCTCATGTCAGCATCAGGGTCGAAGACGAACTTCTCAATGCGGTTGCTCAAGGCTGCCATAACGTTGGGGAGGGCCACTGACTCTTCCGGTTTGGTACCTGCTTGACCAGGCTGTGGAACGCGATCGATGATCTTCGCCATAATGTCTTTCTGCTCTTTCATCATTGATGATGTGGCTTCTCTTTGCTCCTTCATAATCGACGAAATCATAGATGTCATCATTGATGATGTGGCGTTCCTCTGTTCTTCCAAGACTTGCTTGAACATCGATAACATGGTGGATGTATCCATTGTTTCACCAAAAATGTCAGTATGCACAAGGCAAAAGCAGAAATTCAAAAAAGAAGCGGACAGATAAAAAAAATTCTTTCTTCGAATGGTGGGGCTTGTCCCACTTAAATGCTGAAAGGCGAGTCAGAAACAGAAAAAAATTCTTATCTGCTTGTTTTCTTCCTGTCCCTCTTGACGGATACGGAATCAGATGCAACGTCCTTATTGATTGCCGCAAGGTCCTTTGTTGATCCTGATCGCCACTGTTGTGTCCTGCTGCTGGAGCCGAGTCCTGGTGCGAGAGGCTGCACCGAATATTGATCCACAGATTTATTAGTGAGTACAGTGAAAACAATAAGGCAGGACAGGGCACTGGGGAGGTCCAGAGGCAGGTTGAGACAACACACGAAGACAATACACGAATGCCCTCAGCCTGTCGACCCAGGGTTTATATAGGCGGTTTTCCCGCACGATCATGATATCGATAAGATCATCATATTGTGATTACGTGATCATCAATACACACAACACACAGAAAAACAGCTACAGTTCGTAGCCTAACCTCTCCTAGCACACCAAAGATCTTCTGTTATATTTTTCTAAATTTCCCAAAGTTTAGTATGGACTTTGGATTCAAACTACATGCGAGTCTATCTAAGACATTGATTTTGTTGACGCTATTCCACTGCTCAGCAGATCTGCTGCAATGGTTGGCGGCGTTGTCGTGAATGGAGTTGAACTTCTAACGACAATCTTCACTAAGAAATGGAACCAAATGGTCACCAAGAACATCCTAACGAATGCTGAAATTCGTTCTACACAATGTTCATAAGGCAAAAGAGTAAAACACTGCTGCGTAGCACGCATTCAGGGATCCGCCACCAAGTTCTTCCGGAAAAACAGTGGATCATCTGCATCCCTCCATCATCTATAGCATCAATTCAACTCGTCTTAATCAGTTTTATTTTTATCGAAGAAGATAATCCAAAACTAGTCACCATATCGAAAGTGCCTACCTACCCTGTAGGGCCACTTGCTGGATCCCTGCCCGTTCTCATGATTCTTCTAGCTAATTCGAGGCGAACTGTTTTGTGCTGCTTCCAGCCGTGTGACCTTCACCATGGACTGTCGTAGAATTTGGAGGTGAGTTGGCATTTCGCGGAAAGCAAAAGCTTCTGGTAGGCTGGCTGCCTGATGAGGTGGAACTGGAAAAGGATTGCTGCATTCGAGTATACATACTTCGTCTCCGAATGACACTTCAGGCTTTTTAAGGATTTTGTTACTTTTGTAAAAAGTTTAGTTTCTCGTGAAATTGTTAATGCAGCCACGAGATTGACCACGTTGAGCAGCTATGAAGCATTTGACCATCGCGCTAGGTAGATAGCCTGAATCGTCTAGGTCTGCAGTAATGTGCTTTCACAAAGCATGGTCCTAGAACCGCGGATGAATTGGAAGGCGAAGAAATCAAACTGCTGAGTTTCTCTTGTTCAAGATGCGCACCATGCTTTCAAAACAAGGAAGATCTCCCAATTTTCCTGCAAAAATGTTTCTGGCGTACTGTTTCTGAAATTGTGTGACTGTGGTTTACAGCATGCTGAATCCAGTTAAGTAGGTAGCAAGCCATTACAGCAGGGTCACTCAGGAAATCTCTGGTATAGGGTATTGGAAAAATTCTAAAATCGACACGTAGATGACTGGGTCTTTTCGTGAGGGCCTTGGGTGACACCCAGGGTCAACCGTGACGTTCGCACTTTTTCAAAAATTTCGCGACCCCCCCTCCTTTAGGGGGTCTCGATGCCACCACCATGAGACTCAGGAGGCTCCCCCAATACGACCACCTTTCTCCTACCCCGACCACCACCCTCGCCACCATGGCTGATTTTATAGCAGTTGATCCTCAGGTCAGTCGACACACCAAACTCCACCCATATTTTCCCCCGAAACTGCCGTCGAGCAACGGTATTAGTGCAATGGAACGACCAATTTCCTCTGCTCTTCTCCCTACACTCACCACCAGACCAAACTACTCCAAGTACTCATCCACCGTTCACTCAACAAATTACTAATCCCACTCACCCCTTGAATGCGACCTCCTTACCTGCTCAAACTACAAATGAGACCGACCCCTTGTTCGAATAGTGCTAACGCACTATTGACCCTGGTGACACCTCTAGCGTGCACATCTACCACTGAAGGCCATCGCCGATTCCAAATCTTAATTAACGGGGATTATATAAGCTGACAAGCAGATATTTTACTTATTTCTGTAGTAACAATGCCGTCATACATTTTTGAAACATTCCCAAATTTTCGACTAGCAATTATTGAGAAACTAGTGATCCTGGAGCTATAAAAAACCAAGAAGTCAGAAGAAGAGTTATCTGAATGCTTCCAGGTCCGACTCTCAGCATCTATGTGATGATCCTCGGCAATCTCAACTCATGTGTTAATCCTTGGCTCTACATTCTATTCAACCGTTCTCAAGCCGTTAAGGCATTGTGTGGCCGACGAGCAATGGGTATGTGTTATTATGTCGGTGATAACCACCTTCCGATTCCAATCACTTCTCTAGGCTATTCCACACATCGGAGTGAGACCGACATGCTATCGTCGAGTCGGCGATCGGAATTCAAACTATCTGTCGGCAACTCGTTGGCACCGCTTACACCGGATGAAATAAGGGTATTTTCATAGTGATATTTATGTACATTCCTAACAGGTTTATCTTCAAAGACTTTCAAGGTGTTTGTAATGATCTCATGATTCAAGGACTTTTTTCAAGTACCTAAAAAACAGTAATTTCAAGGTACATCGCAACGTATCCTTCCAAGAGCCAGCCACCCAACGTGCTTTCCGAAAATCCTCATGTCGAACCGATATGCCACAACGCAAGCGAGCTGCAGCGTCTCTCTATGCAAAGCGTAGCACGGCATTTGTCAGCGAGAAATCACCGACATCAAATGGCTATCATATTGTGCTGTCAACCGATTCACCACCTTCATCGTCATCCCCCCAACTCGCTGTCAGTCCCCAAGAACTATCATCATTTTTTAACGCCTGAAAATCTTGTATTGTGTAGCGATTGTCCTCGCTGTTGCGGATTTCAGCCACCCGTCGCACTTGATTCACACCTCCGAATAGTGCGGCAGAGCCATAGGGATGGTTCGCCGTAAAATTTTGCCGCATACAGCGCGTGGGATTTAAAGGCAGGTGACACGAAAAATTGCATCGATTTCTGAAGAAGGGCTGGCCTGTCTAGTAAAACGTATGTCGGATCGCTAATGGAGCGCAACGTGGCATTTTCGCGGAGAGCCTGTAGCGGCCTAGCGAGGCTTTATTCGTCCCTCTGCACGCCCACCCATTGGCTACCTCGACTGCTGGTCCTTCGCCGCTGGACTGTAGTCCTGCTAGCGGAGAGTCAGAGCAGTACTTCAAATTGATGACATCAGCCCCACTGTAGTTCACCCAAAGCGAAACTCAACGGGAAGGGGTGCCATCATGCTGGTTACAAGTCGTTTTCTTTGGTATTTTCCCCTTTGCAGTTTCTGTAGCAGCTCTAAATTCTTCCCCATCGTGAAATCAACTTATCGTACCACCTGCCTTTAAACGCTATGCAAAAACAAGCAAAACACGTTCCAAAATATATCGATTCCTTGCTATATCATCTGTGCATTTTATGGATCTCTACTGTGTTATCGGGTTCCATTTCATGATGTATTATTGTGCAATGATAGCCCCATCCATGAGGTTTTCGTCGTTCATCCCTAATCAACTTTGGCTGTCTCGCAACTTCAATTCATACTCACACATGAACACATAAAATGTTTATGATCGTATCACGATAAATTTACTTCGTCTAGTGGAAACATTTGCGGTGGTCCTGATCGTTTACCGTATCGACCTCGGAGCGATAGCTGTGTGTTGAAGGCGCGCCCCTCTCCCATCAGTGGAATCGGACCGTATCTGGAAAGCACGGAACATTTTCTCTCGCTCATTCCTGGAGTTTGCTTTACTTGCTCTTGCAAGAATTGAATGTTCAACAAGTTGATTCTTTTGCAAGAATTTGAAATATTTCAAAAGTTCTCCGAATTTTTCAATGCGATGTTCATTTAGAAAAGCGACGATTTAAGTCATTGTGAGAACAAGAACATGAGAACGAGACAACAAGGAATGCAAAACGAAACTCTCTCTATACTATGATAAAATCGAGCTATCCCTGAGCCTCATTTGTGAAAGATCTTCTTCAAGGATTCAGTATTGAGGACACTCAAGTATACAGCATACATCGTTCTACAATTCTTAAAAGCATTAGCTCACGAAAACACTAACCAGACTGGTGAACGTAATTCGTTAAATTCTGTAATACAATATATACAGACTATTAACAACACAACTCAACAAAACGGCTTACCCCGGCACTACTCCCAAGCAATTAAAAGTTACTATGAATGCGATGTGCGTGACTAATGTAAGATGTTCTGTATCGCTACCGCTAAGATATTAACCTCAATGCCTCCATGAGCTCATCCCTGTTGTTCATTTCGGGGGATAAGCGCTTAATAGCAAGTGCTTCGAGCAGTTTCCTTTCTAATGGGGCATCCTTCGTGCGGTGTAATATGGTAACTTTAGGGTAGGGGGTGCTTCCTGTCGGTGGCACAGTACACGATGTCGCGAGAACGCACTCCTTGGATAGGAAGATGGGTTTCGCAGCGCTCGTGTATGTTCATCCATCCGCTTTTGTAACGGACGCTTCGCTTCACCAACGTACTTCTGACCGCATCCTTCAGGTGTGACCAAACCATTCTCTTTCCAGATTTTTGCAGATTTTTTCGATCCACCCTTCTGATTCTCTAGTACTGGTCCTTGTCTTCGTCGTGATAAGGTTTCTTATCACGTTGGCTTTCATGTACAGCGGATGAGCACTTCGGGAATGCATCCGTTGTACATGAAAGCCAACGTCATAGGAAACCTTATGACGACGAAGACAAGGACCTGTGCTAGAGCATCAGAAGAGGTGGATC